CAAGCTTTTATCTTTATATCTTGTCTTTTTAGGAACTTTATTAATGTGACATTATGATATCCGAACTAGCTTTAATCTTTATATCTCATCTTTTTAGGAACATTATTAATGTGACATTATGACATCGGAACTTTCTTTTCTTTATATATATATCTCGTCTTTTCAGGATCATTATTAACGGGAAATGATGACATGGCCAATAACATTTCTATATACAGTGTTAACGACGAAATTATTCGTACACCCTCCTTTTCGGCCATATGGCTTTTTGAGATCACGTTATGAAATGTAAACAAAACTATGATTTCCCTTTTAGGGGACATGTGGGAAAATATAATATAGAATCGATTTTGTTATTTTAAATTTCTAAGGATACAGTAAGTAACATTTTCAATAACATCATCTTTATATTATCAATAAACAGTCGTCTTATACTACAGATATAGGATAAATTCATGAAAATTTGCTATATTTTTTGACTTCGTCTTACCTAAAGGTCGCCTTATACGCGTAAATACACGCTAATAAAAATAAATCAATGAAGTTAACGTTCATCTTGTCGTTGTTTTTCTCATCCTTCGATAAGTTTCCTTAATATTTAATTGTTATTTCATTGACGAGTTTGTAAATTCTACTCGCAGTTATTGGTCGAAACTAACATTTGTACCCAAACATATTCATAATGTGTCCAGCTAACTTTTTTTCTTAGCACTTCCCAATACTGAAACACTAAGAGTACTCGTTTCGGGAAGTTTTAACCATGAGTTTGAATACTCATTAATGTTCCTACGATTGCAGCTTTCTGCTTCTTCTATGTGCCACGTCCCTTCAGGGCATAGGCGATCATGGTCCTCCACAACTTTCAATTTCGTGTGTCTCTTAACAGATTCTCGCGCTTTGTTAAGGCCCTCGTTCCGACATCGTTTCACAGAAGCTTGTCACATAAGTGGAAAAGAGCATAATTTTCACGAACAATAGTAATATTTGGGAGGGATCTTAATATTGACTCTCAGTCGTAATATTTGGCAGAGATCATAATTTTGGTACTCAATTGTAATATATGGGTGAGATCATAATTTTGACTTTCAGTCGTAATTTTTGGGAGAGATCATAGTTTTGACTCTCAGACGCAATATTTGCGCGAGATCATAATTTTGACTTTCGGTCGTAATATTTTGGAGAAATCTTAATATTGACTCTCAGCCGTAATATTTAGTGGAGTTCTTAATATTCACTCTCAGTTGTAATCTTTAGGAGGGATCATAATATTGATTCTGTGTTGTAGCGTTTGAGAGACGTTGTAATATTGACTCACAGTCGTAATATTTGGGCGAGATCATAATTTTGTCTCTCATTCGAAATATTTTGTAGAGATCATGATATTGACTCTCAGTCGTAATATTTGGACGAGATTATAATTTTGACTCTTAGTCGTAATATTTGAGAGATATCATAATATTAATTCTCAGTAGTAGTATTTTATTGCGTGAATTGCACGTAGTTTTTTATGACGACACGACGTATTAAAATCTCATCGATTTGACCTAATATCAAATATTCAAAAATGACTGTGTGAATTTAATTACTTAATGACACATTTCGCGACATTTTCTCTCTTTCTCTCCAGATTCAGTCAGTCACCTGTCAACGGAATGCGTGCACTGGTTCTGTGATGAAACCAATAATGCGGAAGAATGCGAAACAATTCCGAGATAAATCTGTTGTCATCAAAGAGATGAAAGAATTCTTGGATTTATATTACACCAGTCTAAACAAGTAAGTTTGATATGTTGAAACTAGAGTGCCTTAAAGCACATAATTTTCACCTTACACCGTGTTTCAAAATAAAGATCTTATCTTTAATTGCGAAACCAAAATTTTAATTCGGATTGCCTACTTGGTTTAATGCTATACCGATCTCAAATCTTTTCGTTAATTCACCCCAAAAATTTTAATTCACGGCAATATATATATATATATATATATATATATATATATATATATATATATATATATATATACTAAAATTCACACAAAAGTTATATTTTTAAAATGATCCAAATAAATTAGTTTTATACGGTTTTAAATAGTTATGTTTTAAAGATGATCCTCAATAAATAACTTTTATTTGTTTCTAAAATGTCGACGAAAAATTGTCGTTGAGTCGGTGGTGTTGAGTCGGTGGTGATGAGTCGTCCTACACCCCATGTAGTGTTGTACCGTAACATTTTCTCTAGTTTCCATTATTTGATAAAAAAAATTTGAATCCCATTAAAAATCATAGATGAACGTAGTAATTTCTGTTTAGATGAAGACATTAAAGTATGATATAAATCAAGCAACGATTTTTTTTTTCATCTAGGATCCTCGTAATAAAACCATATTCATCGCCATGGTATAAAACTGATTTTCAGTATGTCGGACTAGACAAGAAAGGCAATGCTCCTTTCTGTAAATTCATATGGAACCCAATTTCTTCTAACTTTTGAATTTTCCCAAAGGCTTCTAAATGACGTACTATAGTCGACTGCACTAAAAATTAAAGAGCTGAACCAAAGTACTTCTAATATTTCTCTAATAATTTACAACAGATAGTCCTCGGTACTTTTTCAGCATATTTCAAATTCATGTATATTTGTTAAGCTTAAATATATAGTCGGAAGCTGTCGATGGTTATGCTAGCACAAAGTCTCAAGTCATCGTGACCCAGGGTTTGAGCGTACTGGCCTTTTCAGACTGTTGATCACGCCAGAACAATGCGTTCTCTCCCAGATAAACTAAGGTCCGCTTAGCGTAGTTGCAGTATAACCCACAGGTGGGCCCTTTGTTGAACAAACACAAATGTGCCTGAGCAAGCGTCAGCAACATGAATTGGCTAACCTCTTAAGTAGACATATTCAGATACGAGCCGCCAGCCATTATATCATAGTAGGGCTAGTGCATAATTATCAGGCGATTTTGTAGGCGGGTTATTTGTTAATAAAATTGCTGTTTTGTTTACTGTTTTATTTTCAAGTTACAAAAATGTATCGATAATCATACGCTCCGGAATAATCATTTAAAAATGTTATTGTTGAATTATGTTTCTTTTTTCATAATAAATATTGTTTAAAAAAACGCCTGGTAATTATGCACCGACTCAATATATTTATTATATTATATACAGTGCCAAGCAAAAGATAATGAACCCCTATAATAATATTTTTTTAAATTTACCTCTTTTTTTCCAAATAATCAATAAATTTTAATTAGACTATTTATTCATTAAACGATTTACGACCACTTTAGGCATTTTTTATCAAGCTGGAATAAAAATATTAATTAAAAATTAAGATATGCAGATAGAGTTGAATAAAATATGTTAAATACGCGAGATTGCGTTTTGATTGGTCGGCACAGCAACTTTACTGCATATCCAAAGAGGCCATTTTCTTTACTCTTAACTCAACGTCGTTGTGAAGATGAGATTTTAGTACACAAAATATCAAAATGCGGGAAAAGGTTTATTATTATTATTATTATTATTTCTCTGATTTTCTGCTGTATACACATTTCCTACCGGGTCCCAACCAGAGTCATAAGGTCAGAAATGGTTTCATGACATTTTCCACTGATCATTTTTGTAAAAATAAATCCTATGATCGCGTACATTTTAAATCTTCGTAATATGAGATGTACTTGAGAATAGTTTTTTTTTTTTTTTTCTTTAAGGCATGGACTACCAGAAATCCCTTCAATGAGTCTCTCGGGACTTTTTCTAATCAATCCGATGGCTCAATTTACAAGAGGAATTATTGATGTTCCCATGTGCCACGGTTCTGAGATTTCCACTTCAAGATCCTTGTATTTTGATAGTTTTTTGAAAATTTTCAAAGATACATTAAAACCTGCAGAAACTGGCATGTCAATAAAAAGCACATTCTGTTTTTGTGTTCTTTGATCACGACGTCTGGGCGTTTAACTTTTATTATTCTGTGTGTGTGCATTGTAAAATCCTATAAAATTGTTAGAGGCCTCATCTCTGTAACAGTGTCTGGGTGATGATCATACCAGTTTCATACAGTTTCTTCCCCGGAAAAGTTGCATATTTTCCAATGTAGATATTCACCGTGGGTGCTAACACCATGCAACCTGATACAAGATGGTCAATTGTTTCTGGATATTTACCACAGAATCTACATTTCGGGTTAAGACAATTTTTCAGTATGTGCACTGGTTATTTCTAGTTAGCAAGCATTGGCCCTGTCCAGCAATAATAATAAAACCATCGGTTTCAGCTTTTAACCCAGCACTACGTAACCATTGACGGATATGGGTTTTGTCTATATCAGCTTATCAGGTACGGGCAGAGTATTGACCATGAAAAGGCTTATCTTACTATCGTATCTGCATGTGGTACAGTGCATTTGCTCTTACTTTCTTTTTTTAGGTTCTTTGCCACTGCAGTAGGTGCATTATGGTTTATTTGCACTTCTTAACCCACTTGAAATTCCCCTTTGAATTTGCTGTCTTCCTTTGTTGCTGAATAAAGTTTCTTATTTCTTTCATGTTCTTTGACACAGATCATCATCCAGTCTTCTGTTGTTTCCAGGTATATTTGAAGAGCGATTGTTGAGGTTTAAGACAGTTCTAGTTGAACTAAACCTCTCCCGCCTTCGGATCTGGGCATATACAGATGATCAATATTATCCTTAGAATGATGCATGCTGTGGCAAGTAGGAAGTTTATGCAAATGATGGAGTAAATACTTCCAAGTCGTGTCAGATCCGGTTTCTTTCTTCTATTTGTTTATATTTATTTATTAATAATTCATTTTTTATTATTTATATATATATATATACATATATATATATATATATATTATTATTATTATTATTATTATTATTATTATTATATTTTAACAATTAATTTTCAGGTGTGGAAGCTATGAACATAAGAACAGCGTGGATAAATACACCAAGAGTATTCAAGCTTCGGGATTATATGATATAACCACAGATATGCTGAGCTTTGGCACCAAAACAGCGTGGAGGAACGCCTCCAGATGCGTCGGCAGGATTCAGTGGTCCAATCTGAAAGTAAGGAACATTTAGGAAACATTTTCTAGTCCGACAAATTCATCGTTCTTTATTAAAATTCAGCGTTCCTATCTATCTATCTATCTATCTATCTATCTATCTCATTCTATTCATTGTCTATCTCATAATGTTCATATTTATCTATCTATCTATCTATCTATCTCTGTCTGTTTTTATCTATCTAGCTATGTTTGAATCTATAATTATCTACCCTAATCTATTAGGATCTATCAATCTATCTATCTGAATTTATTAATTTATCCTAATCTGTTAGGATCTATCTATCTATCTATCTATATATATATATATATATATATATATATATAATTAGGACATCAGCCGATTCCGCTACCTTGCGTTTAACCTTTCAGTATCTTCAGGCGATTTCAATCAGTTGATTTCCTAACGCTTTATTTTTCAAAAATAGAAACTGTTTCCTGGTCTAATTCAACTCTGACATCTAGCTTCTTTACGTATATATATATATATATATATATATATATATATATATATATATATATATAATCCCCTTAACACCTGAACTCTATCTACCCGCCAAATATTTTTAAATGCCCATAATTGATAACAGAAGCCATTGGTTTATACCAACGGTTTCCCATACGTAATAGTTCTCGTTTTCACTCTCGCGTGGTCATGTGTGACGTCACGAGCTGCGACGCGATTTTCGCTTCCGCGTCTCGTATAGTCGTTAGTCCTTGCTTTGAAATTTTTCATGCAACAAAAACAGACTATCATTATTGTTTTGTCCGTGTATTGGTTGATATATTGAAAAGTAATTGTCATCATTGGTAATGGCTTATGTAAGTCGAAAGCATAGATTGGATTTAAACATGTATCAATATGGTGATTTCCTTTCGTCTTTCAATGATAATGTTATTAAGCTTATCAGACAATATGAAAGAAACTTACTTAAAATGAATCGACAAAACTTGACTATATTATTTAATGAAACATGCATTTATATATATATATATATATGGACAAAGTCCAACAATTATTTTAAAGCATTTTTATGTTTAACAATCTTTTTATAGGTACAAATATTTAAGTAAATACTTTGTTTATAATAAACGGTATTAAATAACATTTATCGGCCTGAAGTTCCAAGAAATTTTCATAGAAAATATTCGTCCTCCGACAGGATTTGAACCTGTATCCTATACGGAACCGTCATATAGCCTGGCGTGCTTTTACCAATTTCACCACAGAGGAACGATCGGTTAGCAAGGTCGAATTTACTGCTTTTAATCTTCAATCATCCATGAATCTCTCACGTACATTCATGTCTGCTCATGGCGTATCAAATTTCTCGGACATTCAGGCCGGTATACAAGTATGGAAGAATTTGAACACAGGTATGGAATAACACAGATATATTACAAACAGGAGTATATACAGAGAAGTAGAAGTGTTAGTATGAACAATCAGGTTTAGTAGAGAGAACAATGTAGTCTCGACCAGTATCACTATTCCAATGTCTTACAGTAATTGTCTGAACGCGACTCTGTTTCGGACTGCCTCTGACTCGACTCTTGACTCGACTTGAACTACTGACGATATTCAGTCACCCCCCTCGCTCACGAGGGAGTCATGTGGCACAAGGACTTTTTAACGTGGGATATCCGAGCCCGTGGGCTCGGCCAAAAATATACCCATTGAACCCGTATAAACGGGTTCAGGGTCGGTTTACCTCCCCGAAAGAGAATACACCGTTCGGCGTAGTCTCTTTCGGGTTCCTCCCCGCCCGGAGGCAGAGAGTTCAACCGATCTGTCGTTCAAGACTTGAGCGACAGACTATATTTAGTCGTCCCCCCACGAGGGCGTCATGTGGCACAAGGCCTTTTTAACGTGGGCATTTGCGAGCCATTAGGCTCGGCCAAAAAATAGCCCATTTGAACCCGTATAAACGGGTTCAGGGCCGGTTTTACCTCCCCAAATGACACTCCGCCTTTCGGCGTAGCCTCCTTCGGGTTCCTCTCGCCCGAAAGCAGAGAGTTGAACCGAACCGTCGCTCAAGACTTGAGCGACGGACTATATTTAGTCGTCCCCCTAATGGGGCGTCATGGCTCGGCACAAGGCTTTTTAACGTGGGCACTCCGAGCCCGTGGGCTCGGCCAAAAATATACCCATTGAACCCGTATAAACGGGTTCAGGGCCATTAGGTCGGCCAAAAATCTACCTCCCCGAAGGAGACTCCACTCTTCGGCGTAGCCTCCTTCGGGTTTCTCCCGCCCGAAGGCAGAGAGTTGAACCGAAACCGTCGCTCAAGACTTGAGCGACGGGCTATATTTAGTCGTCCCCACGAGGGCGTCATGTGGGCACAAGGCTTTTTTAACGTGGGCATTTCCGAGCCATTAGGCTCGGCCAAAAAATAGCCCATTTGAACCCGTATAAACGGGTTCAGGGCCGGTTTTACCTCCCCAAAGGATACTCCGCCTTTCGGCGTAGCCTCCTTCGGGTTCCTCTCGCCCGAAAGCAGAGAGTTGAACCGAACCGTCGCTCAAGACTTGAGCGACGGACTATATTTAGTCGTCCCTCCACGAGGGCGTCATGTGGCACAAGGCCTTTTTAACGTGGGCATTTCCGAGCCATTAGGCTCGGCCAAAAAATAGCCCATTTGAAACCGTATAAACGGGTTCAGGGCCAGGTTTTACCTCCCGAAGGAGACTCCGCCCTTCGGCGTAGCCTCCTTCGGGTTCCTCTCCGTCCGTAGACAGAGAGTTAAACCGAACCGTTCGCTCAGAAAGTGAGCGGCGGACTATATTTAGTCGGCCCCCACGAGGGCGTCATGTGGCACAAGGCCTTTTTAACGTGGGCATTTCCGAGCCATTAGGCTCGGCCAAAAAATAGCCCATTTGGACCCGCATAAACGGGTTCAGGGCCGGTTTACCTCCCCGAAGGAGGCTCCGCCCTTCGGCGTAGCCTCCTTCGGGTTCCTCCCGCCCGAAAGCAGAGAGTTAAACCGAACCGTTCGCTCAGAAAGTGAGCGGCGGACAATATTCAGTCACCCCCCACGAGGGGTCATTGTGGCATTTGAACCCGTAAAGGCCTTTTTAACGTGGGTATTCCCGGAGCCATTAGGCTCGGCCCCGTGGGCATTTCCGAGCCATTAGGCTCGGCCCCATTTGAACCCGTATGAACGGGTTCAGGGCCGAGTTTACCTCCCCGAAGGAGACTCCGCCCTTCGGCGTAGCCTCCTTCGGGTTCCTCCCGCCCGTAGGAAGAGAGTAGAACCGAACAGACGCTCAGAAAGTGAGCGGCGGACTATATTTAGTCGTCCCCCACGAGGGCGTCATGTGGCACAAGGCCTTTTTAACGTGGGCATTTCCGAGCCATTAGGCTCGGCCAGAAAGTGAGCCCAATTTGAACCCGCATAAACGGGTTCAGGGGCCGAATTTACCTCCCCGAAGGAGACTCCGCCCTTCGGCGTAGCCTCCTTCGGGTTCCTCCCGCCCGAAAGCAGAGAGTTAAACCGAACCGTTCGCTCAGAAAGTGAGCGGCGGACAATATTCAGTCCCCCCCACGAGGGGGGTGTCACGGGCTTTGTAGGCACAAAAAAGGCCTTTTTAACGTTGGGTATTCCCTGAAGGAGACTCCGCCCTTCCACAAGGCCTTTTTAAGGGCGTGGCAGCCAAGCTCGGGCCTTTTTAAACGGGCTACGCTTCAGCCATTAGGTTTACCTCCCAATTTGAAGGACCTCCCTGAAAATCGGCGTAGCCTCCTTCGGGTTCTTCCCGCCCGAAAGCATTTGAACCCGAAAGTGAACGGGGTTCAGGGCCATGTGGAAGGCCTTTTTACTTCCCCATTAGGAAGGAGACTCCGCCCTTCGGCGTAGCCTCCTTCGGGTTCCTCCCGCCCGTAGGAAGAGAGTAGAACCGAACAGACGCTCAGAAAGTGAGCGGCGGACTATATTTAGTCGTCCCCACGAGGGCGTCATGTGGCACAAGGCCTTTTTAACGTGGGCATTTCCGGAGCCATTAGGCTCGGCAAAAAAAATAGTCGGTGAACCCTATATTAGTCGATGAACCCGTATAAACGGGTTCAGGGGCCGATTTGAACCCGTATAAACTGTTTTATTTACCTCCCGAAGGAGACTCCGCCCTTCGGCGTAGCCTCCTTCGGGTTCCTCTCCGTCCGTAGACAGAGAGTTGAACCGAACCGTCGCTCAGAAAGTGGGCGACGGACTCCTTGCCTACTCCCGAGGCGCAGTATTTATTAAGTATGGAATAGTCCATTATTATTATTATGGGTAAGATCCCATAACACATATATTGCCTAGACTTTTCGGCTGTTATATATAAATACTTATTATAAAATAAAATCCTTGTATTTGCCTTGATAAAGTCATTCAGAGGACAAAACACGTCGGCTAAGATAAGTTTTCTTTCGTTTTTATTTATATTGCCATTTAAATTTTTGAAAACGTTGACTGGAAAGCAAGAAGTCGAAAGAGGTTTCTACAAGAGATAAGTTTAATAGAAGAAACTGTTATTGTAGAACTTACGGTTACATTTAGCCATTTTAACTGTAAAATGATGAAACCTAGCTGCCAATCTAGTAGTACGATTAAATTCGTCAAGTCTAAATGCCAAAGAGGAACGCTCATCAGAACAATTACCATGAAAATATTTATAGAAAAGGCATAGGGAAGCTATATTACGACGCAGGAAGTGACTGAAAGCGAGATGCCAGGTCAGAACCAATAACATTGCAGATACTTCTTTGTAATTTATCAAGGATTTCTCAAGCACCAGACTATATGTGGCATCAATATTCAAGGCATGGGCAAATTGTAAACTTATAAATCTGTAACATAGATTCAGGAGAGAAAAATTGTCTAGCATAACACAGTAAACCAAACTTCCGAGCAGCAGTACTAGCAATTGATTCAATATAATGTTTCCACTTAAATTCAGTGGAAAATGTTAGCCCGAGAAGGTGCAATGAGTCACTCTCCTGGAGGTTAGTATGTTGATGGAAGACAGAAAAGGTTCTCTCAGTTGATTGATAGAGATCAGTTTTGTTTTGGAGGCGTTAAAATTAATAAGTTATTCCTTGCCCCAGTTAACAACAGAATGTAGGTTATTTTTTAGATCAACTTTCAATTTGACCTTGTCGAACCGATTAGACATACCATAAAGAGAAGAGTAAATAGTTGTGTCTTCAGCATAGATATCGATTTCAAAACTGATAACACCAGGAAGGTCGTTGATGAAAATGAAGAATTAACTTAGATTCAAGGATATATCTCTTGGGTACATTTGCATTAATTCAAAAAGATCAAAAAAGTGACCGTTCAAAATAGCTTTCATTTCGCAATTTGATTTTTTTTAAAAAAAAGCTTAAATCAGATAAAACATTCGTTCAGAAATGCCTTTCTTATAAAGAAAGCCATCATTCCAAGCCCTGTTAAATGCGTTCCAGATATCCAGATCAATAGCTAGATCCTCAACATTCTTATCTAAAACTTTTGCTTAAACTTACTAAAATAATTTTAAATTAATAACAGATTCTAAAATGTTTTAAAACGACTTATTTTAGTGATTTCACAAGGGAATACAATAATTCCGAAGATGCAAGAAGTTACTGATAGTGGAAAAGAGTGAAAAGACTTTAGTGGGGAGAAAGGATAATAAAAGAACAAAATTAGGAAGATGGAAGATAGCGATGGACTGGACATTGCATTTAAATATTTGGAGATTGTAGATGGTAGCGAAGCAGGAAACCGAAAGAGAGTTCCACAGAAACCTAAGGTTAAAAATGGCCTTATGACATTTTCCACTGAACATTTTTCTAAAAAAATAAGAATTAAACACCATAAGATCACAGACATTTTACATAGATAAAGGTGTGAGCTCTACTTGTGAGAACGATAGACATCATTTTCTAAATAAGCCAAATTAACTCACAGAAACCATTTTTTCCAGCTTTTTGACAGAAGGGAGGTAACCACCCCAAAGCAGATGTTTGACGCTATCTGTGAACATATTGCCTATGCGAATAACAAGGGAAATCTGAGGTAAGTTATAAAATTACTGCACGATTAAATTCCTGAAGTTCTTCAGACGAGCAAACGTATGAGTGGCCTAACAGTTAAAAGCAAAGGTAATGGAACAAGCAAACCGAGATCAAATTCAAGTTGTGGTATTTATTTTGTAGTGTTGCCTTTAAGAAATATTATATGTAAAGAGCGTGGTAATTAAACCTCCTTTAACAAGCCCACCCTCTCTACTACATATCAGTTTTCATAAGGTAGTAGTCATATAAAATACTTGTTTTATTGTAACTTAATTATGTACAATAATGGACCATATGCAATATAGGTTAACAATTCAATTAGAAAAATTGAAAATAAATACAATGTATCTAAATAGAAATTAGAGACATGTCATCATCGAACATTTCATCTTAAATAAATCAATGTCTTACGGTAATTTTTAACATCAACTTGAGATTTCTTTTCCCTTGCTAAAAAAATTGAATAACACATTCAACATTATGGATAAAAAATAGTAAATTTTATATAGTGTTTTTTCAAGATTTAAAAGAGCAAAAAAATTAACAGATTTTGATGAAAAAGAAAAGAAGTTGAATAATTTTAACACATTCAACATTATGGATAAAAAATAGTAAATTTAATATGGTGTTTTTTCGATGCCAAATTCATGGATTTGGACGAAATAAAAGATTCCAAAATGACGTCAAAACCCGTTAAAGTTTTTCATCATTTCATCGTCAGTTATGCTTCGTTTAATTTGTAACATATATAGACGTAAGTAGAAAAAAGTAAATGTTATTAAAATAGCGAAGGTCACACATCACTGCCTCGGACCCCCAATCAGGCTTGCCACCCCGAGCGATGGATTCGGAGGTAGTACGACAATCCATTTTAAACATTCGATAATAGCTTAGGTCAAGGATAGTTACCCGTTGCTTATACCATGTAACCTAGTACAAATTGTCGCATGTGACATGGAAACGAGATAGATAAAAAAAATACACTAAGTAACCAATCATATTTTAATGTGAAATCAAGAAGTAAAAATAGTTTTATTACATTTATAACTGTAGTACAGCATTATAAAGTGAATTGTTTCAACTAGAAATATTTACATCGGTAGTTATCATACCGAGGCAGTCGTTAGCCTACTTCGATCCATGACACGATCATAATAAATAGCCTATTGAACAGTGCCGATACACCACAGGATTTAAGGTTAACTTTTTGTAACTGTTGTATTAGACGATCTGGGGTAATTTTTAAGATTTAATTGTCGTCTTATACACGGAAATATGCGGTAGTAATTTCAACATAATTGATCGTTTTGTATCATCAAATTTGGCAAATTTTAGGACATTGCTAATACCTGGAAATCACATAATTCTTCCTGTTCATTCATGAATGTTTCTTTTGTTGTTTTAGATCCGCAATTACCATCTTCCCTGCTAGAACTGATGGCCAACATGATTTTCGTGTTTGGAATCCTCAGTTAATTTCTTATGCGGGATATCAACAAAAAGACGGTTCTATAATCGGTGATCCAGCGAATGCTGAATTTACTCTGGTTTGTATTATTTATAACTTCTTCCCCAAAGACGTAACAGCGCAAGTCTATTGCTTCTCTATCGCAGATGTTCAGATGAACTCCATTCTTTAGTTCCACCAGTTCAGACCTTTACAGTTAAAACCCTCCTTGCAACGTCAACAGGGTTGAATCATCCTTATTCTCTAGGTATTCCATTGGTAAGAAGATTAGTCAACTTGAACAGCTTCTTAACAATTATGGCTGTTTTGCAGGACATACTTCCACGCGGATGCTTCCCCGAAGACTACAATTTAAACCGCTAGGATCAATAATTATCTATCCTCCATATCCTCATGTTTTTCTTACTTCTTTTTGCGCTCATATCACAAACATTATTCAGTAACTCTTTATCCTTTAGTCGTTATATTGGGTGAACATTAGCATATATATATATATATATATATATATATATATATATATATATATATATATATATATATATGTGTGTGTGTGTGTGTGTGTGTGTGTGTGTGTATGTATGTATATGCATGTTTCAATAAAAACGACAGGCAATGTACTGCGATTAAGATTTTTAAATATTTTTGTGTTCGAACAAGTTTTTTTTTTTTTAGGAAACAAAGTGTGTAAAAAAAAAATACTTTTTGTCCGCCCACCCAAACAAAATAACCTTTTTTGTCCAAAAAAGAAAACACTTGTTCGAACACAAGAAAAATTAAATACAAAGCTTAATCGCAGTACCTTGTCTGTCGATTTAATGAAACATACATAAATGAAGGATATATATAATACACAATTATCATATATATATATATATATATATATATATATATATATATATATAAACAAATGTTTGACACCACAATATTTGTATATTGCTTTAAATATACAAAGACATATTGTTAAAAGATCCTGTTTCGACCAACACTTCTTCAGAAAAATATGTTGGTGCCTTCTTAAATATAGAAAATGAATCAAATTCGCACGGAGAATCGCAATTAAATACAGGAGTGTTAAATGAGGAACCACGACTAAAACTGAAATTCATTACTAAAACGAAGTAAAAAGGAAATATGTCAATAAACCAAAGTATATAGTTTCCTAGTGAGTATAAAATATAACAGAAACAGAGAACGAACAAAATGTTCTTTCTGTCTATTCAGAGACGGTCGATGTAACTTAATATACAATGTCTCCAAGATTCGCAAATTCTCTGCCTAAAATGGTAAATACTGTATCCGTGTACTTTACAGCACATCCTAGGTTATCTATCTAATGCTGCCCGATAGCTGAGTCAAGTGTATGCTGCTATTTGCAACACCTCGTCTAATATTGGTAGGAATATATATATATATATATATATATATATATATATATATATATATATATATATATATATATATATATATGTTTATGTTCTATCATCGGAGATCCGGTGAATGCTGAATTTATACTGGTTTGTATTGTTTATAATTTTGAAAAGAATGATTGTTCGAGCTTTTTCCTTGGGAAAAGCAGTTTCCTTTTTTGATACATCTAGCGAAGCTCGAAGAATTAATCGGCTGAAATGATGTATTAACACCATCAAGTAAACATAGAATTCGTTCAAGTGTCCAGACAATATTTGACATACTCACCCTTATTTGTCAGTGTTTGTTTTGTTTTTGTCTTTTTGGGGCGAGTATTGTATACTTATTCTGGTTTGTCTTATTACTTTTTTTAACGAAATGCATATCATTAATTACTATATATACATATATAGATTCCATATACGCTATTGTTAAGACATTATAATAAATATATGTCATACTCCGTTTGTTTATTGTATTTCAGGTGTGTGAACGGTTAGGTTGGAAAGGAAATGGTGGCCGCTTTGACATTTTGCCGCTGGTCTTGCAAGCACATGGCGGAAAACCAGAGATTTTTGAACTTCCCCAAGAGCTCATTCTTGAAGTGAATCTCACACATCCAAGGTGAACTTTTCTTTTGGTTTGTTGTGCATTAATGAAAGATAATTAGTCTATATCCTATTGGCGTCATTTTAAACTAGCGCCTTCTTTTTTCATATATTTAAACTGTATATACATTACAGTTTTGAAAAGTGCTGAATTTTACTGAAATATACTGGAAAATTTCCATTTGAAATCAAAAAAATGTTTACAATGTATGGGAAAAAATAATGTAACTGTTTATACTAACTCCAGAAAGGTATGGGATAAACAATTTAGATTATAAATTAATAGATCGTATTTTCTTAATTTTTCATCCTAATTTTTCAGATGAGGAATCAATTTTGTGGATATTAACAAGCTTGTTGGTTTTGTGCGTATTTTTAGGTGCGTGTTCAGAATAAAAACAAATATGATAGTAGAAGCATACAAAAGGAGTTGAGTTTCTGCTACAGACGTTTATCTCTTTTATGTTGAGCGAAACAAATTTAAATGTCTCTTGAATATGTCCATTTTCCTTTTTGGTTCAGAAAGTATGGACAGTAAAGATAAAAACGGATAAAGATGGTCGAGCTCAAGTCAGCCTCGCGCTGAGTTGGGATGGCCGAATCTATACTTCATGAGTAGAGCCGCAGAAAACACGTCCGAATGATATCGTCGGAAAGTGAAAACAAAGTCAAATGTCTCTTTAGTATGCCCATTTTCCTTTTTGACTAAGAAATCGTTTATAGGAAGTGAAGATAAGAACGGGTAAAGATGGTCAAGCTCAAGTCAGCCTCGCGCTGAGATGAGATGGCTGAATCACTACTTCATGAATAGGGCTGCTAATTGCACGTCCAAATGGTATCGTTGGAAAGTGGAAAGTGTTCTATCGTCAGTGGACCAAGGAAACTAACATTCCCCAGCAGGAACGTAATTACCAAGTGGTTACCAAGAGGAGAAAGAGAAAGATTATGCCCTTTCTGGAAGTGGGGTCATAAAATTGCGCATGTGACCAGAAAGCTTTTCCGGTTTCTAGAAACCGGAAAAGCTTTCTGGTCACATGAGCAATTTTATGGAAAATTAATTTATTATGCATTATGGGAAATTAATTTATTTGTTTGTTTTTTTTTATTTTTATTATTTTATTTATTGGTTCTATTTTCCCCCACACATCCTTTACGATACAGACCAGCATGCTGACCTTCGTCCTTATACAAACAACGTTTTGACAGTCGTACTCTTCGGCTTATTCCGGTGCCTGGCTTCATATTCGGGAATCTTTTGGGAAATTATTAAATCTGCAGTGTAGATTGATCTCATCCTGCTTTCCATGCCGAGAGGATATCCAGCAAACATGGATCTCCGTGCTCGCAATAAAACGCAATCTTCCTCTTCACATATATATAGAGAGAGATAGATGGGGGCACCTCGAGGCGGTGTAATGATTAGCAAGCTTGCCTCGCTAGAACAATTACGACTGAGTAGTGAGTTCGATCCTCACTGGGTGCTCCATACTTTCGGCCTTGTGCCACATCTAAGCTATGCCCGGAAATCACTGTATATATACAGGTGGTGTAATAGTGAGTGTCTCGGAACGATAAATCGGCAAACAGAGTTCGAATGTCAGCCAAGCTCGTTGCATTCACACTTGCGCAAATACCCCTAGAAAAGGTATGAATCCGTATCTGCCATATCTATGGATTAATTAGTAGGACAGACTGGAATCTTTAACCTTGACTGGCAAATCTGAATTCAAAATCGTATGGAGTTCTGGCGTAGCACATACTATGCAGCCATCAACAAGATCACAGAGTTCACAATGACACTAAAATATCGACTGCGGTTGGCCTATAACTGCGTCAATATTTTATTATTATTTACTCCTCCTCTTCTATCACTTGTTCCTTTCGCTGTCTCTCTCCTTTCTCTGCTTGTGGGTGAAAGTGAAAGACAGGGAAATTGTCTTAAAAATAAATCTTATTCTTTCTTTCATTCCCGTGTCAAGTGATATACAAATCAGTTACGTGATATAACACAAAAGAATTAACGATAATGTTTACACAGTTGCCGGAAAGGTCACCTGCCATTCCATAATCATTACAGTGTGTAATTATTTATTGTGATATAAAGAGATATTTATTAGAATGTATCATAAATATTTTCGTTTTTTGTTGCATTTACATCAAAGCCCATTTCATGTACATATCTAAAAACTATTTATGATTATTATTACTTACTTCGCACAGTGTTGTGTTATTCTGGATATCTCCATGGAACAGACTCCCAAGAGGATGTTTCCCCGTTCACTACAGTCTTAATCTGGGTCACTTCAAATTGGTGTAATAGTTAGCAAGGTTGACTCGCTAGAACAATTACGACTGAATAGTGAGTTCGATCCTCACTGGGTGCACCATACGTTCGACCTTCTACCACATCAAAGCTACGCTTAGAAAATCACCACTGCAATCTTAACCTGGTCAAGTGTAGAGTTAACCGTTATCTTCCCCTCATATCCATATAAACTACTTCTCAACGTAATCCTCTACCTCGTGTGGCCCACGGGCCTTGTACACTGTGAACCTTACTGATAGATCCTATGTATCTCATGGTATGCCCGACGTAATTGAAAATAGCCAACATATTATCCGTGGACATTTTCAACACGCGCTGAGTCCCCAAAAGATGTCTCTTGGTTGCACACAAAACATAATAAAATAAAAAACATAAGGGTATTGTCAATCATTTTCAGTGAAACTTAAATTAGAGAGTGCTGCCAAATATACAACTATGTATATAATTTGTAAATATATGGTTTGCACATTCCGAAAATCTTCAGAAATAACGTTTTCCAAGAACCAGGACTCCAAAAACACGGGAAATTTGGTCTTTTTTTTATTTGACAGGTACCCTTGGTTTGAAGAGCTTGGCCTAAAATGGTTCTGTTTGCCCGCCGTGTCACATATGTGCTTTGAAGTTGGTGGACTCGAATTTCCCGCTTCCCCATTCAATGGTTGGTACATGGAATCTGAAATTGGAGCCCGGGATCTTTGCGACAACCAGAGATATGACATCATACCTGTGAGTTATGTTTTCAATGGAATTTACAACTCTATGTCCGAATGTGCGTTGTGGTTTAATGGATACCGGCTCGGGGTTGGAAGTGGGAGAGCCGAGTTCGAATTCTAGTCGGGTTCGTTACAATCACTTACGCGCAAATGTTCTTGGGAATGGTATGAATCCATCTCTTCTCCCCACCCCCAACCAGCTATGGATTGGATAAAGGAAACACACTGGTTGGTAACCTGTCTACTGAAGAAAGAAATGACATCCTACTGTGGGAAAATTTTCTGCTTGGTTGATCATGAATCGAAAGAGACATGATCGCCTAAGCGTGAATGGCATCTGACATGTCTGAATGAATTTTCTATCTTTTCTTCTATATTTCAATCATGCGATTATTAAATATTATTTAAATGTCAAGAAGAAACAGCAAACTGTATTATTATATTAACAGTAGCAGCAGTAGTAGTGCTAAACCTACCATGTCTTCTGCTACATTTGATTTCTATTATGTTCAATAACTGGACAAGGGAAGTAACTCTGACTTAATATATTACTTTCTTAACCCTTTAAACTAGAGTCGGCAACTTTTTCCTAAGAGTGAGCAAGACAACCTTGACATATTCTCGGGGGAGACATCAGAATAAACTCTCTACTGGCAGGAAACCACCTGCATACGGATAAAAAATGAGTTCAGAAGATATACGAAAATATAAAGGGGGTGTAAGGCAAGGATGTGTCTTCTCACCGGACTTATTCAAGCTATACAGCGTGACAATTCTGAGAGAACTGGAAATCCTACCAGGATTCATCACTGGCAGTCACAATCTTAACAACATAAGGTATGCATATGACACTGTGCTGATAGCAAACACGGAAAGGAAACTACAAGGGACATGGGAACAGGGAAAGTTTAACTACTAACTTTAGAGATTGAAGCTTCAAATGCTTTAATATAATTTAGAATCCATTTAACAAAAAAGAATTAAATCACGTCTGGAACAAAGACAGTGTTTTTAATAACTATTGTATTATGTGTTGTTTGACAGGAAGTGGCACAATACATGGATCTGGATACAACAAGCCAAACATCCCTGTGGAAAGATATCACCATGATAGAAATCAACGTTGCTGTGTTGCATAGTTTTCGGGTAAGAGTTTTTCTAACAAGCAACATTACAATCCTGAGTAGACAATAATATTATACTGTATTATAATTGGATTTATTCTGTTCAATCTAATGTCTTTTTACAATGAAACCGATCATCTTCTGGGTCAATCTGCATAGGTAATTTAACTTGAATTGTGTTCTTAAAAGGGTTTGTCGTTGTTTCAAAACTGTTGGTAGAGCCTTTTCTTATTGGACCTATTCCGAGATCAAGTTCTTCTATAAAAACTGATTTTGACGTTGACATGTCAAAATAATCAAGCAATTCAGTCCCACCTGTTGATTCGCCTCTTTCAAACAATTTCTTGTCTTTAACGAATCGTCTACCTTGGCTTCTATTTTCCTCATCTGGTCTCTCACGTTTAACAAGTGATTGTTGCACTAAACCGCATATATGCCTTTAAAATGTGGCCCCCTCTATACCCTTTTTTATTCTCTTCTTATATATATATATATATATATATATATATATATATATATATATATATAAGCCGTTCGAAAGGGAAAGGTATGAATCCTCTTCTTCTCCCCTCCAGCTATGGGTAAATTGCAGGACAGGTTCCTTGGATGGCAACTGATCAGAAGGAAATGAAATCAGAAAAAATCTGCCTCGTCAGTCATGTATCAAAGGATACATGCTCGCCTACGTGTGTATCATGCATGGCGCATAACTGACTGAATAGTTATGAATCACGAACACGTGCCTCGTAACCACAGTAGAACCACAACATAGCCTGACAGAGCCTAACCTCGACCGGATGCGCCTCTACTGTTAATGCTGCTGCTTCTTGTCTCGCTTGGGAAGAGCTTTTCCACAG